TTCTGATGTTTATAGACAAACTCGATGAATTGATAATGATTACACGTGTTAGTTGCAGCCTTATAAGAGTTACAACATGTCACTGCAGATAGCCTCATTACTGTATGTGTTATACTCTGTAAAGATGAACAGACGTCCAAGATCTTTTGAAGATGGGCCACTGTTTCTTTTTTTTTTTTTTTTTTTTTTTAGGAGTAACATCCTGCACACTCTGATGCAGATGTTTTACTTGTCGTGTAACTGTGTGGTCTTGTTTGATGCTAATGTTAGCCTGTATTTTGTGATTGGATGCAGTGGTTTTCAAACCCGAACCCAACCCAGATATAGTAGTAGGTTTAAGGCTACAGGACTGTAATCTTGTTCGCCCACATAGATTGAGTCATTGAAGTTTGACCACTGGCTGTATAAGACTTTTGCTGTTTTCAGCGTATTTTCAGTGGAGGATTCCCCTTGTAACTCCGCCAGGTGCTTTGAAAATCAAAGCTCTGTTTTCAGCTTTTGAGAAATTGCTTGTAAATGTCAGGATACAGCTTTGATCACTGGGAGCACATGAGGTCACTGATTCACTTTGCTCTCTGAATAAGTGTTATGAAGTCTTCATGGCGTTCTACCTTGGCAGAACCTTCCACAATATTTGCTTTTTCCTGTGTCGAGTTACTTGTCTTGGTGTAGCTTCAAGGGCAGTTCCACTGGATATACAGTGTCGATTTATCCATTTTAAACTCAACAGGTGGAACAGGCCTTGCTGCTGACAGTCATGCTGACTGCCAGTTAACCTAGAGATAGTCAGTATTAACTTTCCAACATAATTTCAGGCAATTTTACGCTGATTATGGAAGCATTACAGTGGATTTGCATGCCTCTATGCCAAGGCTAGAGCTATCCCAATTGTTGGCCAACTGCAGGGTTATGAGATGTTTGCACTACAGAGCACTCATCGAATTGAACGTGTCACAAGAGTCTGCCTCCCAGCCTCTACAGAACCTGGTTCCCATGGTCCCCAGCCAGTTGGCCAGTAACAGATGCTGGCATCAGAGTCTCATTGTTATGGCTGAGGAGGGAAAGTTATTAGAGCCAGAACAGACTGAGTTGTTGTTGATGATGATGATGGATTTTGTACTTTTGAAATGGTGCTACGCAGAAGCACATGGTTCCAATAGGAAAGCCAGATTTTTGAAATGAGTTAGGTTTCGGACCACACTCAGCATATTGTTTTACCAAGATTGTTTTTAAATGAATCCTGGATGTTGTGTTATGGGATTCGGGATTCTGGGGCACTTGATACCACAAACCAAACCTGACCACAAATATAAGCATCGATATAATGTCCTATAGCACTCTTAGGGTGAGGTGTTCTCACACCTAACCTATATGGTATGGTTCAAATGAATGAAAATGGGGTTTCAAGAAAGCAATCTCCTATGCTATTTATATGTAACCGACCTTCATAATTTGTATTATAAATTATATTATATATCATGGCCAAAACAGATGTCAAAATCAATGTGGTGGTTTTAGGGCATGCTGTGAAATAATGGTGTAATTGCAGGAGCAGTTACCTCCTGGAACAAAGTAGAGGTTGTTATGTTTGTGTTTTATGCCATGCTATCAGGGGACACAATCTGCGTGATCATATTTTACTTATGATCATTGATCATAAGTAACATAACTACTACTATTACTAACTATGGCTATATTAGATTTTCTATTTACTCTTAATTATTATTCTAAAGTAAGACTCATAAACATGGTCCAATTGAAGTTGCTCTGAAATGCCTAGATATTTACCATCAAGAAATGATTTTGCATTCTCAGCGTTGGGATAAAGGATCATACTCAAGCCTACTCGCAAAGTAGCATTGTGTAGTTGAATTAGCTCAAGTTTCTTAGAAGGCTCATGACAGTTTCTGTATCAAAATGCTTACCTTACCGTTTAAGTGCCTCATTTCCCCTCAGGTCATCTATTAAGACGTTACAGAATGACAGCCATGCATATTGAGTTGCCTTTGTATTTAAGTGATGGTGCTGGTTAGTGACTATTGTGAGGTATTCTGCTGAATTACACACCAGTAGTTGATTTATCATAACAAAACAACAGTGTTTTCTGAAGTGAGTGAGTTGAAAGTGAAGGTGAGCAAGCGTGTGTGTGTTTTCAAGGTCTATGCACATCCAAGTGTGCGCTCATGCTTGCTTGCATGTCTATCTCTAAAGCACGTGTGTGTTTGGAAGTGCTTCTTAGTAACAGCTGTTACTGATTTACATTTTTGTCAAGTCTTTTCGAAAGCCCCAGAGACAGACCGAGAGAGATGCAGAGATGCAGAGCGCCTCAGGCATACCAAAGTCTGAAAAGCAGTAGGCCTATTTGTGAGAAGGCACTTACAAAGAATTAATTTGGTGATTAATTTAGTTGGAATTGGCAAGATTGTAGGGCGGAATTAATGTTCTTTCCATGGTGTCATGATTATTTCAGCTTTGACAGCTAGTGCAGCTCTAGCATCTCCGGAAAAGGCCCTTTTCCTTCACAGCAAGAGGGATTTGTTTTGCATCTTTATGGCAAATAGAATGTGAGGCATACATTTCAAAAGTAAGTCATAAATCATTTGTTAATGTGTTTATTCCTATAAGTTTTCATGCCAAATTTACACCATCATCACCATTTTAACACCACAAGTCTCTTGGGGGCAGCCCTAAAGTGCCTTATGATATCACAGTGGGACACTGCGTCAAAGTCTGTAAACCTTTAAGGGCGCAAATTGGAACTGCGTGTAATGCCTGTACCCAATATATTATATCGCTGTCAGAACAGCGAGTTGGTGAAACAAATCTTATTAGGATTTTTTAGTTTGTCTCAGAGTCAGTATGACCACTTAACTGGGTCTTTACAAGTCAGTGCACCATAAAAGACTGAATAGAAGCTCATGTGACAGCTGTACCTGTATGGAGTATACTGTTGCTGTTAAATTACATTAAATACTTTTTAATACACTAATTTATATCAGAAGTGGTTCACTCAGTATAGCTAAAGAGAGATGGGCTAAGAATAAACCTGCACTGCTTACATCTTATCTGCAAAGTGGTCTAAAGCCCTCTTGAATGTGCACTGGCTGAAATCCTAGGTATAGTGTTTCATCCCTCATAGAAGTCAGTGGACTTCTACCATATTGCTGGAACCCTATAATTCCTAAATAATCTCTTTTGTCTTGAGAAAATGCTGGTTCATGTATATATGACCCCCTGACCAACAACTCATGAGAAGAATCTCTCGCAGTGTTTACTGGAACTTCCTGTAGACTTTAAACACTACTTGTTAATGTTTTACCCTTAATCAAATACCAGGCTTCCTGGGAGGCAAATGTCAGCCTGAGTGAGAGTAGGCAACAATGGTCCAGCTTAATTTAGTTTTACTCCAGATGTTCATTAACACTTGATTGCTATGGCAAATCAGTAATAGAGTGATAAAGTTTAATCAGCAGTGATAGCAGGAGTTAATGACTGTAACTGATGAGATGATTGTTGTTACTCAGCATGCAGTTAAATCTGTTGATGATGACAGAAGAGGGGTGGCTGTTGGTGTGATGTAAGGAGTGTGTAATTGTTGCGGAAAGACTTCTAACAAATGTGACAGAAAGGGAAAGGTTCAGAGTGGAGAAACTAGTTTGTGAAAACTTAGAAGGCAGGACCACTGCACACATTAACTCATCCATAAATCCATGTTACACTCTGATCTGTCAAGCTAAATGAATGTAGTTATATTCATGGTTAGCCTTGTATTTTTTTTTTATCTGTGTGTAGCAGGAAATGTCATGTTTAT